AGATACCAGACACGTCATAGAAACAGGACATCAGGTTCAACCCCCAACTTCTTTTAAGGTAATAAAAGTAAAGAAAATAACTTGATTACTGAGTTTTTTGTACAGACGAGTGTTGTTAGTCTCTCACTTCCTTAATGAATATTATTTAATGCTGTTCCATTTTCATTTTCATCATATAACTCTGTATTTATTTATTGATGTTTTCCCTTTCTTACATTTCTTACCTGTTTACAACTAGTTCTCTTACGCGTTATATGGGTTATCAATGACTTTATCATATAACTTATTGATTTCCTGATGACCATTACACTATCAGACTGTATGCAGCTGAAGAGTATTCGTGAAATAAAGTGACATCATTTCACCTTGTGTTTCTCGTCCTTCTTGCTTTATCAAAACCTCCTCATATTGCATCATTTAAGATGCATTCAAACGTTAACAGTATTCACCTGGGAGGATTCTACCAATATTTATCAGTTACTTAATTACTGATTTCAATAGACCAGAAAAAATCAGATTCCTTGTATTTTATAGTATCCTCTTCAGTTATGTACAAGTGAATGAAGCCAGAAATTTTCAACTAGTATACTTGAAACTTAGATTATGAAGTGGTCGTGAAAATTATTTGGAATACGGTAGTGTAAGATGGCTTATTTGTATAGATTTGTGATATAAAGTTTTAATATTGACTGAAAGCACAATTCTAGAATATTGCTGAGCCTCAATCACGTAAAAAGGATGACAAAAACTTATTATATATATATATATATATATATATATATATATATATATATAGAGAGAGAGAGAGAGAGAGAGAGAGAGAGAGTAAAAATACATTCTGTATACAAGCTTATTGTCCTCAAAACCATGTTCGAATACAGTCATGGTAATTCATATGACATCGTTAACTCATGAGATACATCTAGTCGATTTATCCTTCTGGTGAAATTGTAGGTATTCTATAGACTGTGAACAACGAATCCTTTTCAAATTAGTTTAAGTTTTTTTTTGACAGACAGAACTCATCAAAGAAATTTTTAACCTCAGTGGCACATTAGGTTTGCATAATTTCGTTTATCTATAAAAAAACTGTGAAACATCAGTCCCTTGGTTTTAGGTTATTAAATGTTTCATTATCTTCATTTTTCATAACCACTTGACGTTTTATTCGCTTCAAGCTATCTTTATTTAGTTTTTCAACTTTGAATCGAGTTAAGTCGTCTAGATGGTTTGTGTGCTGTGGAAATAATCACCAATATCCAGCAACTTTGAACTGAACCAACTTCTTTTTTCTTCACCTATTGGTTTTGGATTGAAGAGTTTATGCCATATACTTTTAATTTTAGTCTATGTATCACTTCTGTTGATGGATTTTTAAAGATCAGGAAACTTGAAACTCAAAGATAAAGCTGTGCATTTCTTTATGAGATAGTGGACACGTTCTGTGGATTAGGATAAAGATCATATCTGCTTGGGGTTCACTGGGCTTTGAGGTTTGTTCTTGAACCCTTCATTACTAGATTGATTAGGCAAGTTCATCAGCATTCACTTTGTCTAGAAGTGAAACATTCATATGTTGCATAAATCTTTATGAAGGATACTTGCAATCTTGAGCGTTTTTGGTTTATAAGTAGGCTTGATCTGACCTTTTTATTTATTGTACGTTGGTCTTTATAATCATTGGTATCGTTTGACTTATCCTTTTGGCAAAATGTCTGACTACTGATTTGGTTGATTGATTACCAGTTAATTGATCTCTTCTTAATGGTCTACATATTGAGTCAGTGTCCACGTGTCTGTTTGATTAAAGTGCACCTTTTAAGCTTGCATTACACGTTTTCTTGATCAAAGTTGTGGTTGCGCTCATCTTCATGTGTTGATATCACTGAGAATATATATTATGTCGTTTGACTGACAGTTGGTACTCATTAATACCTTAAAGAATACGATAAAACGATTTTTAAAATTATGCTTTCCTTGTTTTCTTTAAATGATGCATCCTTCAACTTGCATTGAACGTTTTGAAGGAAGTTGGTTGGCTTTTGTGCCATTCTGATGCCGAATGAATGAGATAATCGCTCGACAGTTTCTGAGACATCTTCGATAAATGGTGAAATGATTCGTTTTGTACGTTGAGGTAAAATTCCTGATTTCCGTTCTGTTTGTAGGATTGTCACTGGCACTTCGTACTTTCTAAGAATGGTTTTTTTCTGATCTCTGAAGTATTTAAGTACTACAATGGCACAGGCGAATGGCCTCCAAAAATTTACTTAAGGTTGTAGAAACTATTTTAGCTATCTTCAACTGTGCATCTTGTAGAAACAAAAGGATGAATTTCCTTTGAGAAATAACGTTGAAATTTTCTACCAGTTAGTAGGAATTATGCGTATGTCGGTTATTGGCAGTCTTTATTGAAAAGATTTGTACATTGTATTTACACATGGAGTTAGTACAAGCGGTACAGCTTAATTACCTACATACTCATTTTGATGTAGACAGGAGGTAATAATTTTAAATACTTCATGCAATAATTGAAGCCTTCGTTCTTAGTGAATTGTAAATATCGGATTATAAGAGAAACTGTAGGCATAGATCTTCCGTCCAGTCTATTAAATAACAAGACAATTGCACATGGAAAACCCCTTTTCAACGCTACATGAACTTCTTTTCAAGTTGATGAGCCTTATTTAGGTGCTCTTGTGCTGCACAGAAAAGAACAAACCTACAAGTTTTTTCTTACAACTTTGTAAACAAATAGAGTAATTTTTCCTGACGATCGGTCTTTGGGTTGACAACGAGTCCTTGTTCAACTATCAACTGGTGTTCCTAATCACTACCAAACGGGTACTATAGCAACCAGAAAATGACAGGGACCGATCCTTGACATTTCTAAATGCATATGTCTATTCGAATATATCTGTGAAGAGAAATACATTGGTCATACGGAGAGGCACCTGTCTACCTGAATGGTTAAGCATCTACCTAAGTAGGTGAAGCGTGCCGAAACGCAGACCCTGAGGAATTCGATAACGAAACACCTAATGGATTATGGGCATGATATTGATACCTGTAAGTTCTTTACCTTTATAAGAAGGCAGTAAATTAATAATTTGTTTGCAATCGTGAGATTCAAGTTGTCAAAATTAAACCTGTGGATTCAGAACGAGATGGTAGTCTCCCATGGTAGGAAGTACATGACTTGCTTACTTGCTTTCTGCTCTAAATTATCCCCCCTATCTTGTTTTCATTTCCTAATTTGTTTGGCCTAATTAACCTTGTTCCCATTACTATTCATCCCAATACACACCTGGTTTTGCTACTATGTAGTCTTAAGCGACTACTAACTATCTTCCTCTGAATGAAGTTACCTCCGCTCAATCGATTCAGGTCTACCTCAGTGTCATCTTAATTATTTTCTTGCCTGAAGTCCATAAGATTCATTCGACTGCACTACTATCCAAACTCATAATTAATATAGAGAAATATGTAGAGTTTTCAGTTGAAGAGTATTACAGAGATTTATGAATTCATTGAATTCTGCTTTTCTTTCACATAAAGTCACTTGCTTCATATTTTCTGTCCATTTACTTCGTTTGTAGTGCGTAGTTCCAGTATTTCATTGTAGCAGTAAAGTTTTACTGCATTTAGATGGACAGTTTATTCGTCTTTTAATACCAACTTTTAGTGATCTTCAAGTATCTAAACGACTAATTAATTGCATAACAATCATATGCATGTAGAAAGTTACGATTCCCGATGAAATGGCCATGACTAAAATCAAATATGGATTAACCTTTACATAATGCGGTTAAACCATGGATATGTGATTTTTTACATGTAAACACATCAAAGTAAACAGACATCTTTTGGGTATGGTTTTCACAAACTTTAAAAAAATCGAACTATAAAAACTAGACCAGAGAGATGCATAATAACCTTGATATGATAACGAGCAATATATTTTGCACGAAACTAACAAGTTACTATATATTTACTATCGATATACGTGATTCTTTATGTATTTAGATACTCTTCATGGAATCCTATACTTCATCGTAACGAAGATGACTACAGTTATAAAGTATGGGCTGGAATATTTGTTAACAGCAACAACCATAGTCATAACCAACTAAATTACAATAACTGACATTCAGACAATATTCAGGCATCCGTATAGAAGCCCATATGCTTATAGAGGTCGAACAATTCGATCCAACAAAACAACGGCGAATTTCAAGGATAACAATAAATAACAACAATAAGCTTTTACAACAAAGAATTATACTACTATTAATTTAAAGAGTAGTATAGTAATGCAGCACAATTAATATTACAAACTTCATCCAAAATGGTGAGAAATGTATTAGTGAAATATATTTCAGCAACATAATCGACAAAGACAGTACAGACAGAAGGTGTACAAAATTCAAGACAATCACACAAATTTATAAAATTGAAATAGTGACCATCATAACTGCCACCACAAAAAAGATGCCACGATTTCAAGAGTGAGGATACATCACTGATCACAATATTTATATAGTGTAATGTTTTAAAGAATGACAAACAGAAAAATAACATTCAGCACATTTTCAAAACCCTTTAGAATATAAAAAAAAGAATTGGAAACAAGTAAATGTAGCTCGTACTGATGGATCCTCATCAAAGTATTGGAAACTCAGTTAGTTAAAACCTATTTAGCACTGTCACATAGAAGGCAAATAGCCAATCTCAGCTCATTGTGACGTAATCGTGACAGCACTGAAACAGTCTGAAGATGAAATGAATATAAAATAAAGTCACAATGCTTGAAATGAAGTAAACCACCATAGATCTAAACAAAGTTAACGAATCTCTTTGAAGATTCAAACACAGTCATATACATATATATATTGAAGACTGAAGTATGTGCAATCACATATTAATGGAATGTTAATGGGTAGGACAGGGGTACAGAGACTGAAAACTTCACAGTCAAATGGAATGCAGAAGTTATGCTTCTAAGCTACTGAATCTGACCGATTAACACCGGTTTTAAGTCTAAATAATTTCGATGAAAGAGTGGTAGAACGAGACTTTTTAGTAGTATTTCCCACTACTTTTGGAATGAATTTTTGTTGTTGCTTACCTAATTTATCACTTTGTCTCAACAAGTGACGATCTGCATAAGCATCCATAAGCACATCTTCATCACCATTTTCCCCTACTCCTTCTCCTTCATCATCAATATAATCATCAATCTCTTGTTCAGCAAAATAATCTGAGCCATTACTGTTACGTATAAGTGGTCGAAAACCAGCTTCTTTACTTCGTTTCGTGGTTTTTTTCGTTGAATAACGTGAACAAATACCATTCATAGTGTTTGAATCAGTGTTTTTGTGGGATATGGCAAATACTTTATCACTTTCTCGTTTATTTCGTCGGATACTACCACCACTACTAATCCGACGTCTACACCAACATAAGCGTATACAACCAAATAACAGAAAAATAATTACAAGGAATAATATCACTGAAAGACCAGTTAACTGATATGGTGTAAGTGTATGCAAATTCCATATTTGATAATTGGTGACAGCAACAATTTCAGCAATCTCATTTCCTGTATCCATATCTTTACCATCTACACAGAAAGTGAAATAATTAAAAACAAAAAAAATTCACAATATTGATTAAAGTGATTCTTTAGAGAATTTCTATTAAAGAAAGGAATCAATTAAAACTGTGATATGTAGTAACTCCGCATGTAGTACACTACAGCCTTTAGGAAAATATTATCATGCTTATTGTGGCTCTATATGTCAATAGTGACCCATCAATTTTCTCCAGATATATCAATAATGACAAACTCCAAGCTATAATGCTAATCAGTACTTCTTGTACAAAGAGTAAGGATCATAACTCAATAACCTAGTGAAAATGTTATCTCATGAGTAAAGGCATGCTTAATTGACGAAACAAAAAATAAAATCATCATGTATTCTGGTTCATCATTACAATCATCATAAGTTATTCGTATCACAGTAGTTGAAACATTTGCTAATCACCGACACTATTCAACTTGAAGATCATCCATATAATACGAAAAACGTATATGCACAAAACAAAAAAACGTGAAACCCTATCGATTATTCATTATCCAGTATGTTAGAGATAGTAGACAGAAATCTCTGAGAAATAATCATATACTTGTGAGCAGTCAAGCCGATAGAATGTGATAAACAATGAGAAATGGGAAAGTAGCACTGCGAATTCCACCTGTTGACTGATTTAAACTTATCATCTATGTAACTCATAAAAAGTATGCGTAGTAAAAGTTCAACAAATAATCTTCCCTTTTAACGCTATCGAAATTATTACTTATAATGATATGATGTCAAGCTTCCAAATTCTGGTACAATTCAAAACCTATGCAAAGATTTTTATATTAGGGATGAACAGTGAATAACAGTGGAATCCAGGACGTTCATTTTGTCCCGTTTGGGGCTCGTTGGCTGGAAATGCCTCTCTCTTAGTGAACGATCAGTCTCAGGGTCGAGTCCTACTGGCAACAACATCCCTCACTGAAAGGTAGGTATATCCAGCTTACAAGTCCCAAACAGGATGAAAGGTATATCCTGAATTCCACTGTCAGCCCCTATCCACCACTGATGCGAAACTGAAACACAGGCAATATGAAAGCATCCACGTCGAAGCCCATATGCTAGTAGAGACCTATCAATTCTGTCCAATCAACGACGGAATAATACAAGCAACAATGTGTAAAGGTTTTTTATCGGGTTAATTAATACCCTCATAGTTAGAAAACTGCATTAATACCTCACTGGATAAACCGCACTAAGTGAAGAAGGGTATGAAGCAGTGACCTCCTGGTTGAGAAGTAAGTCTCAAATAGCTACAACTGGACTCCTTTCTTCAAAATACTACAATTTCTGTATTGACAGTATGAAGAAATACTATGATAACCTCTACATACCTAGTTACCGAGAAGAAGGTCAACTAAATATACAATTCCTATAAATGGAAAACCGCATAAATGAACATTGAAGTGCATTTTTGGCAATCTATGTTTGATTTAAGTTACATTTGAGTAGATCAAAGACCGTCTATAGTTCATTGATGTAACTATAGTTCGCTTTTACTTAGACTAACCTATCTCAGTAGCTTAACTGTATCGACACCGATTCGTAACTGGACTACTTCAAAATTTTGATTGCTAAGTTAGTAATATTAACCGCCATAAGTGTTTGGTTAACATAAACGACTTGTATTTATACCTTCAAGAAAATATACTATTTTTATGAATACTGATTATATATCCTTCAACTTGTTTCTAACACTCCGTTTATTTCAACACAAGTTTGATTGTATTCTCAGCTGATTCAGATCAGATTACATCATTAATCACTCATACTTTCAACCAATGTTTCATGTTTGAATGAAACTTCATACAAACTTAATTAAGTATATTCAGTTTCAACTGAGGTAATGAGAACGTATCTGAATGTCTTTTAAGGTTCAAAGTACTCCACAATAGTACTATTTACCCTATATCTGTGAAATATAAAATTTAAGCAAGAATTAGGTGTACCTGTGCACTATTATCATTGTAGCATCATCACTGATATGTAGTGAAAATGTATGGTAGCTCTATGTGCAGGTTAATAGTTAATTACTCTGTAAAACAGATAAACCATTTAATGAAGTTGCGAACTTTGATTAACTGATAGGGTTGAGATATATGTTTACCTTTTTCAAAATAACATATTATTCAATGCATCTAAGCATAATGAACCTGACACATAAAGCCACTGACTTATACTAAGGGACAAGTATGGAAGTACTAGCTTCTGTAATGCAATTCATGAATAAATCAAACCTTGTAGGTGAAAGTATTGTATTGTATAGCATAGGAATGATTTCAATAACATTCATGCGTTGAAATTGCATTAAGCTATTATTCCTTAAATTATCTTTTTTAGTTTATTCCACCCAATTCTCATAAACACCTTCATATTATTTTACTAAACTATCACCTTACATAAACCTCATAATCGTTTAGACAGACATTCAGTAATGATTAATTCTGATATTAGTGTTCATACAATACTAAATCTGAAGAGATTTCCTCAACTGTATACTATTGTTAACAAATGGATAAGTGGAATCTCAATATTGTTGACGCATAATTCTTCATTATATATACTGTAGGACCTGAATAAGTTATCGTAAAGGATAGTCTTTATTCACTCAAATGGATTTTGAACTCTACCTTACCTTTAATTAAAAGACTTTTATAGTTTGTCAGTTCCTTTTATTGTTGTGCTTATTCTTCTTTGTTTATTTTCGTTCCATAAAGCTATCATTTGCTAGATTTTACACTATGTACTAGTATGAAATGCTACAATTATGCTTGACTTGAATATAGGCACAATTACATTTCACTGCATCAGAAAACTAAACATTTTACACGTTAAAAGCCTCATCCTTGTAAAAAAACAAACAAATAAACAAGTTTTATCACACACTATGGTGTCCTTAATTAGTTATGATAAACCAAATGAGGTGACATGAAATAATAAACCTAACAAGTATAATTGATTAGAATTCAGAAGTAATAAAAATTCTAACATACGGTTGATACCTTTATAGTTTTAGAACAAGAACTTGTACAATCTTTCAAAAAAAAAAATAATTTTTACATATATGAGATTGATCAAAAAAAGGAATCACTTTTTTGTAAGAAATTTTACCTCTAGGTATTTTAATGATAAACTGTTTTGTATAACTTGATTAGTACAGACATATTAAATCAGATCTTCCTTCTCAAATTCAAAGACGAACATGCAGACAAAGTCAACGTGGAACCTCGCATAGGAGTGCATCAGTTCAAGTTGCCACACGTCACAATAGTGTACGAACAACAGATGGGTAGAAAAAGAGTGATATCGAAGTAGACAAAGTTGTGTGAGACAATACATAGTCTGAATATAAGGGTTAGTGTAAATAGTAAAGCTTTAGAAGACACCAAAGAGTGAATACATCTGCACTATCGGGATCGATTTTCAGCCATGTCATCAAGAGTTGTCACCTTTCGTCTAGGGAACCCCGGCCACGCAGCTAACACTCCACATGGCTCAGACGAAAGACTTAATCGCCTGATACCACGTCTTGGTCAGACCACCTTGAATATTCTTCCAACCTGACTCAACTTTTCCTAATATGGCACATCAACGTAAGCGATGGCTTGGCCTACACAGTACATTTTTAAGCCACTTCAGTCGATGAAGGTTCTTAACCTCATCAATCCACCCCTCTGTCTCGTCTAGTAACCTTCACCTGACCTCGACATTGCTCACATGGGGATTCTACAAAACGCCAGCAATGCTACAAAGACATTTATGACCAGAAACCTGTAACCGCTTCATGTCTCCTAGTTTCAACGGCCATATCTCACAGCCGTATACAGGACAGAAAAGATCCCAGCGCAGCGCAGTACACTCGTCCTTTGATTGATAGTCCAGTATCTCGCCAGTTGGCGTCACAGATGACACAGTTCAGCAAATGCCAAATGGGCCTTCTCCGTCCGAGTTGAGATCTCATCAGCAACCAGAGCGTTCCAGCTGATACAACTGCCCAAGTAAGGGAAGTGGTTAACACACTCCACCACTTCACTCCATATCCTTAGACTGGGAGTACTTGCAGCAGACCAGTCTCGAAGTACAATCTTACATTTGACAGGTGCGAAAAGCACGTCACACATACTCAGATTTCCAATTGACACGTTCAGAAAACCCGGCATCTTGTCAGCGCTTCCACCTAGCAGAACAATATAGTCTGCGAGGTCTCTTCTCAAATTCAACAAGTGGCTAGATAACGCTTATGAGATCGTTTGTCATCACATGTCCAGTAATCTTCTTTTGTCTACGTCAGACAATTGAAACCGATGACTGGTAGACATTATTTGACATGGTTAAAACTGCATATAGAGTGATACAAAATCTTTCATATCCTTCCTTAACCCTAACCCTAATATCTCATTTCACCGGTAACTTCATATTTTTTTCTCACTGTCATATGAAATTCCAAGGATTCAGGTTACATTATTTACATCTATTTTTAATCCTATTTTACAGTCTGCAACCTTGGTGTTTGGATATGATATTTGATAAATAAAGTTGTTATCCACTGAAATCAGCTCCTATCTTGATAATGTCCATCTGTCGACCTGGTAATATCTTTTGTTCTCAAGTATTCAACTGTTTGTTGACAAAGTTTACACCTTCATGCTATTCTTGTCTAGTTGAAAAGTTTTCTATTGACTGTTCAATCATCATCAAACCAAAGAAAATGATATGCTCTTAGGTTAATATTCATCACGGACTGAAATCAGTTGGAGAACCATGCGAAACCTGGAGGCATCCTCCAGCTGTTTCGTCTCATTATGGGACTGCTCAACAGTAAATACCTACGAAGCCATTAGGCGGTCGAACTTAGGACCTTCAGGTCTCCCGATGGAAGCATTTATTTTCCAATCTCTGAGCAGAAAATCAATGGTCCTCAGTCTCTTACTCCTGGTAATTGGTGCCACAGAGCGACCATCATCCAGGAAAATCAGCTAGT